ACCCCCTTACACAAGAGGTGTGAGAGTATGTACGGCCGAGTAAGCGCGTGTGACATTTTGAGAGATAGTGAGTACTAGCGATCACTTGAGGTTTTTATGCTGTTGAAGGTGGTTTTGGAGATGTTGTCTGACGGTGTTAGATTTTTTTTTGAAATAAATAAATACATTGAACTGTTTTCAGTGTTCTCACACTGTGATTAATCTGCATGCAAAAGTAAATAAACACAAGATGCTGGCTTGTATGATAAACTGGTGATGTGTATTGATGATGTTTTTAGAAAAACCCAGAGAGGTTATAGGCTACATTTTCCTGTGTGAAATGATAAACTGAAGTTTCATCTGTCAGGATTATAAGATATCTTTTACTGCCATTGTGAACCACACACAGGCACTCGAATGAAATTGTGCAAAAATAGGAAATAAAAGCCCATAAATTAAAGTGGTGCTGAATTAGAACTGTCGGGAAGCAATTAGGAAAACACCATAATTCCTCCAAATGGGGGCCAAAGTTGAACAGATAGCAAAATACGTGTTAAATGAAAATAACCAATTTTGGGAGTGTATCGCTGCCAAATGTCAAAGGTCACGAGACTCGGCGGGGCCTGTGCTCGTGTCCTCTCTGCTTAGTCAGCAAAATGGAACCAGCGCCATGATCCCACAAGAATCCAGATGAAAAATGGGTTTGAGATGCACAAACAGGGCCGAGATGTAGTGCAGAAAAACGGGTGACCCCTTCCAACAGATAAACAAATAACTAAATAAATCCTGGGGACGCTGGGGGTGAGGGAAGCTACCCCCGAGGGGTCAGAGCAGGAACAGATAAATCTCCCTTAAAGACGCCATGCTTCTCCACAGTTAACCTCTTAATCAACCCCAATCGGCCAAAGGAAACAGCACTGACTTTCAAAAACTATCAGCTCTGTTTCTCTGCAGTGAGTAAACACCCTCCAACATTTGTACAGTGTGAACCAGTGTTGAAATGAGAGACCATTCACTCCTGCTTAATGAGAATTTAATTACAAAGTGCTTTACTAAAGGGAAGTTGATCATCGGTGTCTCTAAAGGACACTTAGTAGCTCCTTTGCTTGTGATATCAGGTTACACGCCATCGTCTTTGTATTTTTTTGTTTATTGATGCACACACATTCACACACACATTTCCAGTAAATTACAATTTATCCCTCGTTGTCTATCCATCACCACGCCTTTCTGAAGCAGTGCATCAGCGATTAACCTCCAGTGAGCACAAAAGCATCCTGATAGTATCTGTTCACGGCTCAGGCAAGACACGGGCTGCAGACATGTGACCTCCTAACAAACATGTCATTCTTAGCTTTGAATTTCTATTTCAGTCACGCGCTCAGGTTACGTACCTGCTCACTTGATGGCTCCTTTCCTCAATGGTATCATATTTAGCTTCGGCTGAAACTGAGCATTGCATTGTGGGCGCTGGTGTTGTCAGGCCGTCCATAAATTAACAAGTAAACCAGTGGCCTCTGCATTTCCTAGGCCATCCGGTGCGGTCATGTTTACCACCCCTTGCCCCCTCCCTGACACCCTCGTGTATCACAGCCTCCTGCACCAGTTGCTCCAGGCATCCATCACTGAGCATCAAATACGAGTGGCAAGCTATTCTTTGCATTTGTATTAAGATACAGCTGGGTACGATGGGGCAAGCATAATTCCACAGTTTGGGTTGTTCCGCTCACAGAGAAGATGTTAATTCTTTGTGCAGCACTGTCTCTCCGTCGCTTGTGCATTTTAACGGTGCTGTTTGGCCTTCGACACCCGTGTAAGCCGGGCTGTTAGATGAAACAAACCTTTGCAAGTGCTATCTGACCCAGGTTCGCTTGGCGAGCACAGGTTATGATCTCAGATTTGAACGAGTGGAATTTGAAATCGAAACAAATTTTATAACAAAACCTGTTTAAGGGCAGGCTCTCGTTTTTTTCAGCCCTCATTCTGAGGATAAAAATACCGTCTAAAGTTCAGCTATGAGGATGAGGATCCAGCAGTTAGTCTAATGAAGTGGCTGTCTTACACAGTTTTAGTCTTTTTAGTGCAATGTTTCCCCGTACAGTGATTCCTTGCTGATGAGGAGGGAAAGCAACACGAAGAGTCTGCTAAAGCCTCATATTAGCAGACTGTTGATTTAAAGTTTGAGTGTTGTTTTCAGACAGACTTGTAAAAGTGGAAGTTATATCCTTTAAAGCAGCACACACCTCAAACTCTGTAGTCGCTCCTAACATTCTTCCAATCATGTTGAAGGAGCAGGTGTCATTTTTTTTTCTACAGCCGGCTGCTAAACAGTAAAGAAATTTGTTTTTGAAATTTGTTCATTAAAAATTTTAATTCAGCATTAATGGCTTCTCAGGTCAGCTGATATGTGTGAACTTTCTTACCTGGGGATGAAGTGTGAGATCATTTATTCAGGCTTGAGTAGGATAATGAACGACTTCTGCGGGTCTTTCTTTACTTTTTGGGGAGAGTTGTGACATAAAAACAACCTGTAATGTCCTAAAATAAGGAGTGATACATTTCAACCTGTCTTTATTGAAGGATTAATGTGTGGGACATCACATACATTACTAAACCTCGGGTTGATCCTCATTTAATTAACCCCTTTCCCGGTGAAATCCCGGTCAGATTCATCATAAGCCTCCTCTGTATAGAATTACACTCTAATTATTAGGCCCCAAACCCTGAGGTGCCCTTGGTCACTGGCCTACAGCTCATGGAATCTGCTAATAGCGAGTCACGGGGCTAATTGGGAGACAGGTAAGGTTACATGTGACAGCAATTAAGCGAGCGCAGGGCCAACTTTATGGCCTGAGGCGAGCCTGGCGCTGCACTCAGGACCCGTAAGTGGGATTTTGTCTTTTTAGCGCTTTCTTTTCCTTTTGGAGAGAAGCAGAGTTGGGAATTACAGTTCCTCTTTCTGTCTGTAGTGGAGATAGGATTATGTAAGTAGCCCGTGAGTTCCTCTTGTTTTGTTTGTAGCTGCTCTTTGTTGGGAATATAGACGAAATATGATTTATTGATCAGATATTTCATGGTTCTTTTACTTTACTTACTGCTTACTTTTACTTTCCCATAATTTCTTTACCTTTATTAGGCCAATTATTATTATTATTATTGTTATTATTATTGTTATTATTATTATAAATATTATTATTATTTGCCTACAATTGTTGCTGTTGTTGTTGTCATCATGTGGTGAGCTTTAATGAGAAAAAATAGCCTACATCAACAGGAAGTAAAAATGTCGGGTAAGTGTCATGAAGTTTGTTTATTTGTTTATTTTAAATATATTGATTATTTATTGAGGAGATTTAATTTGGCATCAGGAGATCAAATGTCTTAATGAAGCAACAAAAAATCTCTAAATTGTTGAGTCTAAACTGACTGACTTTTGTTTTCATTTTTTCTTTTCCATAGCTTGTCCATGTGAGTGAGAGGGGAAGTGCGCGAGCGCGTCTAAACGCATGATCACTCCTCAGACCTCGGTCCCGTGCAGCACGGGGGCGGTGGGACACTCGACCCCCTGGCTGCGATGTTTTTGGAATTACCTTCACATGACAAATCAAGACGCCATATCTGGGGAAATAATCAGGTCCCCGCTGCTCTCGGCGTGAAAAAGCCCATTAGAGAACAACACTGTCACCGTTAATTACCGCAGTGGCCTTTTGTGCGCGCTGGCGGAGGCTGTATAACACAACAAACCGACTGAATCAACACTTTCCCGACTGGTAAACGATTTAGGGAGCTTACGACTCGGTGAGGAGTTTGACAACTTTTGTTGTTGTTGACTTTGTGGAGCTGAGGGATATTTCACCACGTGATATGTGACCTTTATGGAATATTTAAAAATATTTATCCATTATTCTGCAAGATTTTAGTGAGTTTTATTCCTGTGTCACAGCCGAAGCTACGACGTTTGTTGGTCTTGTTGGGGTAAAATAGGATTTTGTTGAAACCAGTCTATTAGAAAAGATCATTACATGCACACTGGACAGCTGACCCAGGACTGATTACAAGGCAGTGCATAAAACGGTTGGTAAACTATGACCTCTACTCGACCATCCGAGCTTAAAACAATAAAATCTGAAATGATATTTTCAGACAAATCATCAATTTTTATTTCATGTCTTATAGGCTCAAAAATCTACTGGAACTAGACAGTTTAGAATAATACACACATCATTTCTTTTCCCTCAAACATCCCCTCAAGACATGGTGTATGATACATAGGCATGCTCTGCTTTGAAAAGTAATTTATGGCACAGGAAATATGCTTTTCTCTTCAGAAAAAGTCCAAGTATCCTGTTGAAAACTTGAAGTATTGGACCTGTATTAGCTTCCAAATGAAATCTTGTTCATTTGTCATGAGTCTTAAGCTCAGATTTAAGGTGAGCACAGAAAAACATTCCTCCTTCAGCACATGAATGTGAAAACTACCTTCCAGCACAGTGAAGGTCAAACATCAAGAATGAAGCAACAAAACGTAAAAACTTGAAATCCCTCCCCTCCCCATCATAAAGCTTCACATTCTCCTTCAGAGAGCAGTAAGGTTTAAACGATCAAACTGTTTGACAGTCCTCAACTGAAGAAAGAAGGTTGTAACGCATCTCCTCTCATCAGAGCTGATTAAACTTTATTTTTTGTATGTATATTAACTACAGGTTTATTATTCCTGGACGCACAAGATGCAGAAGATGTTATTTCCACGGGGGACACTGATGTGGATTCACTTTATATCACAAACAACCGCTCCTGTCAGTCAGACCCATCCTAATCGACCACCGTCCAATCAGAGAGCGTCTTACTTCTTCCCAGACTTTTGGGACCAATCAGGGCCGGCCCTTCATCTTTCACCGCTCCCGCTGAGGGGAGGGGATATGACCTTATTTGGCAGTTATGACCTTATATGGAGCACCGCCAGGGGGGCAGCCGTATGAGGCAGCCTGCTAGTAACACTTTCCCCAAATTGTAGCTTTGCCTCTCGGAGACGGGACAGCCAGTCGAAGGGTGAAGTCGGTAACACTCGAGCGGCAAAGATTTGTCCTGCGCTGAGACTGTTTTCTGTTTCAGCTTTTTCCTTCACGGACGATCACCCAGAAGCAGCACTGAGGATATTTCGGCGGTGTGTTGGGTAAATAAAGATCAGAGCGCACACACTGACGTCGCGATCCAGAAGCTCGCCGCGGCGCGCAAGAACAAGAGGAGCCAGGATTGAACCACTCTCCACGGGACGTGCGGTTTTTCTTCCGTTTCCAAGAGCAAACTGGGACTAAAGAAAACCTCCACGTGAAATGCGGTCAGTATTAAATCCAGCTTGTCATTCAAGAGACAGAATTAATCTTGAGTGAATCCACATGCAGTGTTGAGAGCGACCGAGTGAGAGGCGAAATATTGTTGTCTGTCATATCCTCTGTTGTTTTTCCCTTTTTCAAATCCCAGAGGCGAGCAGTGACTCAGATAAGGGTTTATTTTTACCGCCTACACACTGACTTATTGGACTGACTTTTCCGAGAGGTTACACTCTGAAGAACAACGTGTTTATGGATTGCTGCGCAGCGAGGAGCACCGGGAGTTGTAGGCTACGCTCTTGTGCATCGATCATGTTGATACCTCGCTGTTGCTGTAAACTTTGATAGATGTTTACAGAGAGAACTTAGTAATATAGACAAGCGCTTAGAATAAATAAACTCAGATAAACTCAGATTGACCCCGGAGAAGGTGGGAAGCGCTTTTTCTCTCCCTTTCTCGTTTTCTTTTTTCCTCCCAAGACGTCAGAACGGATCTCTATCAACGTAGTCTGACTCCTTCTGTGATTTAAACAAAGACCAAAGTGTTTGGGGATAGCATGGCAATGGTAGTAAACCAGTGGCCAGAGAACATTTCTGCAGATCCGGGGTCTCAGCTCCAGATTTGCGGCCAAGAGCCCGGCGGGGCACCGGGGACACCCAACGGTTCCACCCCGGGGAACGACGCACTTTCCGGGGACAAGATCCCCAACGTGGACTGCATGGTGTGCGGGGACAAGTCCAGTGGGAAGCATTACGGTCAGTTCACCTGCGAGGGATGCAAAAGCTTCTTTAAGCGCTCGGTGAGGCGGAACCTCACTTACACCTGCCGGGGGAACCGAGACTGTCCCATCGACCAGCACCACCGGAACCAGTGTCAGTACTGCCGGCTGAAGAAGTGCCTCAAAGTCGGCATGAGGAGAGAAGGTAAGGCCGGTGCTGTGCTCTCTGTGGGGTGGAGGGTGTGATGGAGTCAGTGTGAGCCTGTGGCACGAGAGGCATTTGTTTGCAAAACGTGTTTCTGTGCCTAAAGTTGTGCGTAAGGTTGTTCACTGTAAAATATGGATCTTAACAGGCCGTTAAGTCTGGAAGTCAGCCGTAAAAGATTTTACAGTTTTAAAACAAGTGGCCACCTCCTCACATTGGCCGAGGCTCTTGTTTCCTGTGCAGTTTCACTTGTTTTATGGCTTTTCTAAAAAACTATATATTTGCAACAAAGCGTAGCAAGGCCGATCGTTCCCTTAATTTAAGACAAATATGGACACATACAGATTTGGATTGGAAAGCTTTACTCCACCACACCGATAGATTTTCACTTGCTGGAAGAAAAGAAAACACTTGAAGGCTAAATGTGACACTCAGTTCACTCTTTTTGTAACATGTCGCATCACACGTGTAAACCGAAGAAGTGCCAGTGAGAGATTTTGTGCGTAAAACGTGCGTCATGTTTTGTTGTGCCTGTTGATCTAAAGGTTGTGCGCTTCTATACAGTTTATCCCTCAGCCACTGTTGTTATGGGTAAATAATCAGTCACCACCTGCGGTTCCACTATGCTTATTTCACATTCATTTACCAAACACACACACACACACACACACACACACACACACACACATATTCACCCCGGCGCGCTCTGTTCTGTGAAATCCCTCCTTTGTCCCTCTATTTTAATTATGCTGTTTGCTCACCGACACCCAGAGCCGCTATAAGAGGATGCCGCTACATTTGTTGTATTGTGCTGGATTAAGAACGGGTCAGTTAGTGCCAAAGAGGAGCAGTGAAAACGTGCTGGTGAAGAGGAGCGCTTCCCTTATTAATTATCATTCAGCACCGACACCCCCCCCCCCCCCCCCCCCCCAATTCATGAGAGATTCGATGGTGCATATTTTAAAATGTGAAGCAAATGGATGAAATGAACTGCTGGGCTGGCGGTGATGGGATCTTTTTTTCTGTTTGTTTATGCACATTGGATGAGATGACTGTGCTCCAGCCACAAACACATCATTTAGAGACCCTCCTGACGCTGCGAGACCCTGTACATATTTTGATTCTCTGTATAATCTCTTTGGGAAATGAATGTAAATGTCAACCCCAGTTTATCTGCAAACTGTGCACACACACCTCATGAGAACAGGTGAACCTTTCTCCCGCTTTGACCTCAGTTATCCTCAAAAGTCTGAGTCTTTAGTGAAGATGTCACTTCTTTTATTTTCCCTCTCAGAGGACAGAATAGGGTCAGCTGCGGCATCCCCCGCCCGCTGTCTTGCTCAAGGACTCTTCGGCAGGATTCGGATCTTGAAGGACACACAACGACCTCGCAGCCCCTTTGTTCTCAGCCTGAGCCAAAATGTAAATACGGAGACGCTGGAAATACCCGTCCTCCCTATAGAGCGCGGGATGAGATGATCCCTCAAGGGTTCCCGCTAGTGCACTGCTATGGCTCTCAGACTGTGTGTGTGTGTGTGTGTGTGTGTGTGTGTGTGTGTGTGTGCGTGCACGCGCGCACTGTACATACAGTCTTACCTCACGTAAAATACCCGCAAGCCACATAGACTCGCTCGTGCTCTTTTGCGACTGAATGAACCCGAGGACCAAACGTGTTTATTGCACAAAATATCCGCCAGATTCAGTTTTACGTTAAGACACTTCAAATGTGACATTATAATTTCGAGCTCGCCTTCGAAATAAATGTTTTATTTCACCGTCAGTGGTTTATCCTTTACTCTTTTTTGCAGTGTGATCTTAAATCCCTGAAGGCTGCATACTGTTCATGATAAGGAATTAGACTTACTATATTTAGATAATATCATAGCGTGTAATGCTGTGCATATAGGCTGTGCTAGTCTACACTGCAAAAAATATTCATCTTCCCAAGTCACCGAGTCTCTTTAATTTCTAAAAATAAGTAAAAAATCTTTCCTGGAGGCATAAATGATTTCTTTACCTTCAGTTTCAACTAATTCCAAAATTAAAAAGTGTGTATCATGTTGAAAGGAAACCAGAAATTCATTTAAAAAATCGAAAAGAAGGTAAATTATCTCCAAATTCTGTTAGAAATTGTAAGATTTTAAAAGTCATCGTCTGCTGACTCCTTCATATATTTTTTGGCTTGTGCGTGGGCGCAAAACGCTTAAAAATGTGAGGCGAGTCAATTTAATGGCTGAGCTCATCTGCTGGTGTATTTGAGGTCAGTGGGATTAAACGGTGTCCTTAAATCCTCTTTGTCGTCTGACTTCTGTTTATCAGCGATCATTTGTCTACTTAGGACAATTTGTGTTAAGACACATGCACAGTTTTCTACAGTTTTCTACAGCTAATTTTATGATGATTAACCGAACAGAGAAATACAAACAAGAATTAATAGTCAAAAATAGTTTTTGAGGCTGAGAAAGGCAGTGATGTGATCCCAGTGATCCTAATGAATTATAAATAATATGCATTTGCACTTTCACAGCTGTTCATTTGTCCTCAGTTATTTAATCTTGATTCCTAAACACAACACAGAAATATCTGAATATTTCTGTAAAGATTCATGAATATTTGAGACAAATCCTGGCACCGTTATTTTATTGTAACAACTACAGTACATTAAACACTGCTGTATCCTCGAATTCAAAGACTGAGGGCGCCAACTGAAAAGTGTCAGGGCTGTTAAAGCACACAGCCACTGGCATCCTCCCCACAGGTCATACATAAGTCATGTTTCCTTTATATTATTCAAGAGGTTCACGTAAGGTTGTCAAGGGAGACGCGATGTTTACTCTCAGTTATGATCCAGGTGAAATTTGTGTGTGATATTTCCTTCTCTTTTTTTCCCCATTTTCAAGTTATTGAAAAGATATTGTCAAAATAAAGTCACGCGTGGAAACACAGTTTGTTCAGCTAAAGCAGTTTGCCATGCTCTTAATTATTTAGAAGCCTTTTTTTAACTTGCTTTGAGATGTATTCCATCATAGCATATAGGTCATAATGTACCTCACATCTGGGCAAAGTGAAAACCAAAATGGAGGGAAAGTGCTGGTGGATGGAACAACTTATGTCATTGTAATTATTTAAAGTGTTGACTGGTTTTGTTCACAAATGGAGTGTAAATCTGTGAGGCTACAAAAAGATGGAGTTTTTGGATAGCAGAGCTTTAATACTTTAATAGAGTTTCATATCACTAATGCTGCTGCGTGACTTTTCTGTTTAGACTGCATTAATATTTAGCTGCTGAGAAGACACGTTAAAAGTTTCATGAGTGGACCGCGTCAGATTTAGAAGTTCCTCGCTTTCAAGTGAGTGTTTATTTTTTCCAAAGGCAACGTTTGACCTCTTTCTGGAGACCGCTGTGTAGAACATAATATCATTTGTTGGAGACTTTTCTCCGGAGCACCTTCCATCGCCATGACAGCGAACATTACTGCGCCGGCCTCAGTGGGAATCAAGCCCCTAAGACCCTGTGTCATTGTCTCACCGCACAGCTACACAGAACCTCCGCTTGTCAGTGCAGTTTCTAGTCTGAAGAGGAAGCACGGAGGCAAAGAGAATCGGCCTGACAGTTCCTTTGAACTGCAGTGAATGTTTTAATTTTGAAACACTGCACAAGGATGAGCTCCTGACTTCATTGAGGACATAAATACATGTGGTAGTTTTACTGTGGCTGGTTAATGCATGCATACACAATGATAATGTCATCTTGTCTGTTGTGTGTATCTTGAATTATATACCCGGGCAGCTGTTTGCACACAACAGACACACACACACACACACACACACACACACACAGACAGACAGTTAGCAGAGTGCAGGGATACATAGTCTCAACATCCATTTGTAGCAAAGGAATCTGTAGTACCCACATTCAACACAAACAGTGGGACGGCTGCTGCCTCCTCTGACCCATATTGCACTCTGACAAAATACCAACAGCAGCGGAAAATGTAGGTCAACCAAAACTAAAACATTAATAACAGACAGGCTCAAGTCAAAGTCCAAATGTGTGAACCATCCAGGGGCCTCTCCAGCGAGTAAATACCCCACTGCAGCACTAAAATCTAACAGACAGTGTGTATTGACTAATCCATACTCCACGGTGGGCCTGTAACAGTGGGCAATTTAACACCAAAACACTGCGGTCTGGCCTCCTTTGCCTCTGAAAACCTTTACTTATCCCTCCCCAGTAATTTAGCTATTGACATATCCAAATACTTAAACCCCTGTCATCACACTCGCAGGCGAAGTCATTACCAGCAGCCTCTCAGAGGAAAATGGCTCCAGTACTGCCAGGCCTCCATTAAAGTGATCCAGTGGAGCTTATGACGTTATCTTCAAGGCTAACTTTAAAGGCACGCAGGTGAATGGATGAATGATGCTGCTTTTTAATGCGCTGGGACACATCAAGGTGAGGGGAGGTGATAACGACCTCCTCACTATACAACCCACAGTATCACTAATGTGACAAAGGTAAACGTAATGTGAGCTGCTCGGGTTCATTCAGTCAATCACTGGAACATACTGACCGACTCGGACTGTTTTACCCGTGACTTAAGTAGCTCAACCTGTTTTGTTTTTTTTGTCTTTCACCTGGGTCACTGGTAATAACACACAGCCAACAAAGAGGCACAGAATTTGTCAGTCACTGTCAGGAGCGTTTAACCCCCCCGACGAGGCTTCTCCCGCAGTCTGCCACACATTTGTTCTCTAATGCAGCACTGTGGGGAATCTGTGCACATGTATATTTTAGGCATTTAGCTGATGATCTTATCCATGCTCTCTGGGTGGGAGTGTACTAGCACTATTCAGAAGAAGAAGAAGAAGAAGCAGGTGAAACCAAGATGCACTAATAGCAGTTGCAACAGACTTTTCCTACCACATATGGAATCAATATTTTTATATTGACTTTTAAAAAAAATACAAGCTGGATACTGGTGAGTCGTGTCAGGTTC